TGGGCCATAAAACAAGTCTCAACAAATTTAAGACGACTGAAAAAATACCAAGTATCCTCTCTGACCCCAATAAAAAGAAACTAGAAATCAACAGGAGGAAAACAAAAATCCACAAATACATGGACGTTAACTCACTCTTAACTAATCAGTGGGTCAAAGAAGAAATCACAAGGGACTAAGAAAATATCTGGAGGTTAATGAAAGCAAAACACAACATTCCAAAATTAAAGGATGCAGTGAAAACACTACTGATATGGATATTTATAGAGAAAATGCTTACATTAAAAAATAACAAAGTTTTCAAATCAATAACCCAACTTTTTACCTTGAGGAACTCTAAAACATAAAAAGAAACTATAGATGATTCTCAATTTATGACAGTTTGTCTAACGATTTTTCTACTTCACAATGATGCAAAAGTGACATACATTTAATAGAAACTGTACTTTGATTTTTGAATGTGGATCTTTTTCCAAGCTAGCACTACGGAGTACATACTCCCCTGTGATGCTAGGCAGTGGCAGTGAGCCATGGCTTCTAGTCAGCCATGTTATCACAAGGGTAAATAACTTATACATATATATAGCCATTCTGTACCTATACAATCATTCTGTTTTACCCTTTTAGTACTAGGTTTAATAAATTACATGAGATATTAGATACTTTATTATAAAATAGGCTTTGTGTTTGATGATTTCACCCAGCTGTAGGCTAATGGAAGTGTTCTGAGATGTTTAAGGTAGGCTAGGGTAAGCTCTGACGTTTGGTAGGTTAGATGTAGTAGATGCATTTTTTACTTACATTTTCAACTTACAATAGGCTTATCATGCCATAGCTCCACAGTAAGTTGAAGAAGATCTGAAACCAAAACTTAACAGAGGAAGGAAATAATAAAGAACGTAACAGAAAAATGAAAGAATAGAAAAACAATTTTTAAAATCAATGAAAACAAGAATTGTTTTTCTGAAAAGATCAACAACTTTAAAAAAATTCTTAGCTAGACTAATAAAAAAGGTACAGATAAATAAAACAGAAATAGGGGCACCTGGGTGGCTCTGTCAGTTAAACACCTGCCTTCAGCACATGTCATGATTCCGGGGTCCTGGGATGAAACCCCACATCAGGCTCCCCTGTCAGCAGGAAGCCTGCTTCCCCCCATCCCTCTGCCTGCCACTGTCCCACTGTTTGTGCTCCCTCCCTCTCTGTCAGATAAATAAAATCTTTAAAAAAAAGAAAGAAAGAAAAGGAATGAAGAGAGGACATTTCAATTAATGTCATAGAAATAAGAAGAATTATAAGACTACTAAGAATAATCATATGCCAACAAATTGGATACCTGTAAGAAGAAAAAGGAAAACTACTACCAAGACTAAATGCATATCAAAACTAAATCACAAAGAAATTTTTAAAATGTGACCAGACAAATAAAGAGGAAGGATATTGGATCAGTAATCAAAAACACCTCAATACAGAAAAGCTCAGGACCAAATGAATTCACTGGAGAATTCAACCAAACATTTAAAGAAAAATTAACACTAATCTCCCTCAAGCTCTTACTAAGAATTGTATAGGAGAAAACACTTCCAAACTCATTCTATGATGTCAGCATTATCCTGATACCAAAACCAGATAAAGACACTACAAGAAAAATAGAAGTCAATTATCATTGGTGATGACTAATGCAAAAATCATTTATAAAATAATAGCAAAATGAATTCAAAAAGTTCATTAAAGGGATCATACATTATGACCAAGTGGGATTTATCCCTGGAACATAAGAATGGTTTAATGTATTAAAAAATCAATCAATGTAGTTCCACACATTAATAAATGAATGACAACAAAACCCCACATGACCATTTCATTTGATGCCCAAAAAAGTGACAAAAATTCAGCACTATGATATCATAAAAACACCCAACAAACTAACAGAAGTACCTCAACATAATAAAAGCCATACATGATCACAGACAATATCACACTCAACAGTGAAAGACTGTCTTCTTTTTTTCTAAGTACAGGAAAAAAGACAACCATGTCCACCCTCACCACACTATTCGGCATAGTACTATAGGTCCTAACTACAGGATTTAGAGAACAAAAAGAAAAAAAGGTATTGAAATGAGAAATAAGTAAAATTATGTCTGTTAACCAATGATTTCATATGCAGAAAACCCTGCAGATTCCACCAAAAAAAATTGTTTGAGCTAGGAAACAATTTCAGCAGTTATAATATAAAATCAACACACAAAAATCAATTGTTTCTGTACACAAACATGATCAATCACAAAAGGGAATTAAGAAAATGCTCCCTTTTACTATAGTATCAAAAAGGATAAAATACTTAAGAATAGACTTAGCCAATGAGGTGAAAGTCTTGCACACTGAAAGCTGAAGGCATTGGTAAAAGAAATCAAATAATATACAGACAAATGGAAAGACATCTCATGCTCATTAACTGGAAGACTTTGTAGTGTTAAAATAATGTTAAAATGCCCAAACTACCAGATGAAGCTATCTACAAATTCACTGCAATCTTTATTAGAATCCCAATGGCATATTTTTCAGAAATAGAGAAAAATAGCCTACAAGAAAATGTTACAGTGCCTCATTTCCCAATTTTGAAACATACTACAAAGCAACAGTAATGAAAACTATATGGTAGTAGCATAAAAACAGATATATGGAGCAATGGAATAGAATAGAGCATCCAGAAATAAAGCCCTGAGTATATATGGCCAAATGTTTTTCAACACTGGTGCCAGCATACACAGTGGAAAATGATCAGTGTCTTCAACAAATGGCACTGGAAAATCTATATCTACCTACATGTCAAAGAATGAAGTTGGACTCTTACTTTAAATCATATACAAAAGTTAACTCAAAATTGGCATAAATGTATGACCTAAAATTATGAAACTCCTGGAAAAAAGCATAGGAAAAAACCTTCAGTACATTGGATTCGGCAACCACTTGTTGGATATGAGACCAAACACACAGGCAACAAAAGTACAAATAAACAAATGGGATTACATTAAACTTAACTTTTCTGCATCAAAGAAAACAATCAACAGAGTGAAAAGGCAGCTTACAGAATGGGAGAAAGCATTTACAAACCACATATCTGATAAGAAGTTAATATGTAGAATATACAAAAGAAATCCTATAGCTTAACAACAACAAAAAAACTTTAAAATTCTTTATTAATAGAAATATTAATATTAATAATGAAAAACAGTACAGCAGTTCCTCAAAAAATTAAACATAGAATTAACATATGTTCTAACAATCCAGCTTCTGGGTATACATCCAAAAAATTCAAAGCAAGATCACAAAGAGATATTTACACATTCATGTTCCTTGGAGCATTATTCGCAATAGCCTAAAGGTAGAAGAAACCCAAAGGCCCGTTAATAGAAGACTGGGTAAAGAAAATGCAGTGGGTATATTCACATGCAATGGGATAGTCACAGCCTTAAAAAGGAAGATAATCCTGTCGTGTGCTACAATATGGATGAAACCTGAGGACATTATGCAAAGCAAAATAAGCCAGTCACAAAAGTTCAAATTCCACTCATATGTATTATCTAAAGAAGTCAGAATCATAGAAACAGAAAGTAGAAAGGTATTTGCCAAGGGTGGGGCAGGGGATGCAGCGGGGAGGGGAAATTAGTGTTCAATGGGCATAGAATGTTGGTTTTCAGGATGAAAAGATTCTAGAGATCGGTTGAACAACAATGTGAATATACTTAACAATATTGAACTATACATTTAAAAATGGTCAGTATGGAAAATTTAATACTAAATGCTTTTTACCACAATAAAAAAGAGAATGAAGGAAATTGGGATTCAATGCTAGATCTCTCTGACTTCAAATTATGTACTTATAACTGCTAAATTTAGCTTACTATGAAACAAAAATTTAATGTATAATGTTTTCTTTTCCCTTCACTGACTTATTTTTGTTGAGTATCCTTAAAATTCTGTTTTCCTATTTCTAATTGCTTTGTAAATTTACAGGAATATGATTTTAGAATATGTATAGGCATTGTACTAAGTCAGCATAACCATGTGTAAAAAAAAAAAAACAAAACCTTCCCACTCTTTAGTGAGTCAATGGACTTCAATTTTTGTAACCTCTGCTAATATTTAGCTCAGCTTCCCTGCCTCATACCCACCTCTTCTGGAGTCAACAGACACCCTATGGAATGAAACATTTTTATAACATATCTTAAAATTTTCATATCTGAAAGTTTCCTATATCTAAATCTATTATTATTTATTTATTTATTTATTTATTTTGCTAACCCTTGTTTATGGTAGCTAATTTTCTTTTGAATTTTGAGGTCATATATGGCTGGAAATAATCTGTGGGAATACCTGCTTGAAGTGCATTCCTACAGAGAGAAATATTCTTTGCCTCCAACAGGTGCCCTTGGATCTTACCAACCAGGAATAAATGTAGCCTCATAGTTCAGAATCTCCTAACTATCCATGTTGTACAAATTAAAAACCTAAACCCATACAAGATCAGAAATATAATCATGAATCCTCAATATGAAAATTTTATTCGTTTTTCTGTTATTTCATTTATCTAGAACCGAGAACAAAACAGATAACTTGTTTTATCCCTTCACTTAAAAGTAGCATATTTGTTTTGTAGACTATTCTTTCAACGAGGCTGAAGCAGTTAAACATTATATGTGGGGCTTGAGGGTTTCACTGAGGATGTAGTTCTTTTGAAAAAAAGAAAAATAGACTGACAAGCTTTAAAAATATAAAAAATGCTTTACTTTACACAAAGACATGTAGAGAAACTCATATATAAAATAAATGAATTGAACACTTGGCTTATGAACAATTTTTAAGAAGTTATTAACTGCAAAAACAAAATAAATATTTATCAAAAATGGTTTTAAAATTTTTATTACATCATTGAAATCAAGTTAAATACAAAGGTTAAATCACTTTAAAATAGCAATACATAAAAAAGGACCTACCAGAATTTTATCCACAACAATATATATTTCAAGATATTGAGGATGTAACTTGAAAAATTCAGTTCTCTGGAAAACACACAACATGAGTCCTGAGGAATTTCCAAAAATTTACCTTCTATTGAAATTATATTCAGAAACTGAGAGATGTGGTGCTACTGACTACATAATAAAGCGGCATCCAAATACAAAATTTAGGTACTATTCAGAAAATTCCAGTCCAAAAAGTTCCTGTGGTTAATAAAGGTGTTCAATGAGATCCCAAGCTACAAGATACAAGAATCCAGGTATCTGTTGATTATAGCAATAGTTGCAATTGGAAATTTTAAGATTACAACATAAATCTTTTCTTTCTTCCCTTGTGATAGTTTTCATAGTAGTCTTCCATGTGGACAGATTTTCTGCTACCAGTTATTAGGAAACTACTTCTGGCAAACAATAAAGTTAAGAAAAATATTACTGAAGTTTACAACCAATGGCAGTTCACTGGAGCCAGGAATGCTATTTATGACATTAAAGCAGTTTACTAGCCTTTGTGGAAGAAGAATTCATCACATTGCTTTACATGTACCTTATATAGGCCACTAATAGTATTTCTGAACTCTCTTAAAACAAAGACTTAATTAGAAATGCAGATTATGTGATATTTTCACCTAATTTATCAGCCTAATTGAGGAAAAGGAGTAATTTACATTAGCTATTCAAATGTCCACATGCAAAAATTAATTTTTTGGTTTCTGGAATCCTATATTCACATGTGTCCAAGATTAATTACCTAAGTCTTTACTAAACTTTAATCTAATGACAAGCTTAATGGGGAACTTAATTTTATTATTTACCCATTTTAAAAGCCAAGCAAGGTCCTCATGAAAAAGGAAAACAATCTTAAATCTGCAGGTCATCAAATTTTGCTCTGAAAGTAGTTTTCATTTCATGAAATTATAAGAAATAAGTTAAATTTAAGTCAACACTTACTTCTGAACTTTTCCTGATATGATAATATATGTTATTATAGCTGTAAGTCTTAGTTTCTCCTAAGAGAGGTACAACAATGTCATATTTTTCTTCATAAATCATGTGCACAAATCCTGATACAGCCTCCATTGGTTCAATTCCATATGAGATGTTTTTAAGCTGTAATGTTCCCCTGAGTATTAAAAAATCAAAACAAGTCTGAAATTATTCTACCAAAACTATAATATTCTAAGGAGTAATTTTGGCAAAAAAAAAAAATTTTTTTCTTACATTTTTTTTGGTTTCTCTGGTTATTCATTGAGGTGTTAAACTCAAGACTGAAATAGTAATACCACAGGATGCATACTGCCTTATATTACAAATATTCTAAGAGAAATATTTTTATTATCTTAAAGAAAGCATATAAGTGGCATGGATCCATGTGATTAAACAGGTTAGGAACCCTTCCTAGAGTACAGATTTTCTAAGCCAGCTTGTCAGATCTTTAGGCACTCTCTTCCTTAGTGTTAGGTCCTTTCTTCTTTTTGAGATAACTACTCTTCCCTGAGACTTAATGTCACACATCATTTTTTGTGTGGACTTAAATGAAGATATTATCTACCTAAAAATGACTGGAAGCAGAGCTAAAATACCTATCAGATCTAGGCATTCTACAATTTTCAACCATGCTAGGAAATTAAGAAATCAATAAAAATATTAAAAATCTAGAAAAAATAAAGTATGGAGAGACCAACAAACACCCTCTACACTCAAGGCCACTCAAAGCCTCAAGCAACAGATCCTGTTAGAATCAACAAGTAACATAAACAAGGAATTGTGAAACACTGCATCAAAAACTCATGATGTGGGGCACCTGGGTGGCTCAGAGGGTTAAGCCTCTGCCTTCAGCTCAGGTCATGAACTCAGAGTCCTGGGATCGAGCCCCACACTGGGCTCTCTGCTTGGCAGGGTGCCTACTTCCCCCTCTCTTTTTGCCTGCCTCTCTGCCTACTTGTGATCTCTCTCTCTTTCTGTCAAATAAATAAATAAAATCTAAAACAAAACAAAACAAAACAAAAAACCACCTCATCATGTATATTATGGTGACTAATATAACAAAATAAAAATTAAAAAAAAAAAAAAGAATCAACAAGTAGTCTTCCAACAGGGACAAATGCTGCCAAGGTGACCAATATTTTATTTTGCCAGTAATTCTGAGTCACTCCTTAGGGAACTAAGATAACAAAGTTGAATATAGAACTAGAAAAGATAAACGGAGGATCAACTCAGGTTAACAGGATTAATACTGGCAAATGGAATATCTTTAAATAGGTTACAACCTGAGTCCTGAACAAGTATGGAGTGACACAAGAGAATGTGGAAATCCTGCAACATATCCATGGTAACTGCAATCCACCTGAAAAAAAATATACAAGAATAAATGAAGAATTTATTTTTAAAACGGACATCCCACCTGTATCATTTGTATTTATTACTTTATCTACCCTAGTACTTTAACATGCATAGGCAATTAGCCAATGAAATTTTGCCAGGTAGGATTAAAAATTAGTCCAAGTTATTCAATTTCAGTGAATGTGTAAAATAATATTCTAGAAATTTCAGAATATTTACATCTTTAAAGATAATCCAGAGTAAGAAGTCTGTAAGAAAAATCTGTCTTACCTGCGCTAACAAAGGCTGAGAATGTTGGATGTCATCGTTGTCATAAAAGTAAACAACAGAAACTGAAGATAAAAATAATCTAGACAAAAAAATCACAAAACATGCTCAAGTTGTGAAACAGAAAACATAGAAAAAATTATTCTTCATAATACAAATTGTTCTTTCACTGAGGAATTGTAGTGCCAATTACCTTTACATAGTCAATCGTCCAAATACTTTTCTGTCATTTACAATAAACCAGGTGCTGAAGAAAGTATTTTAACTACAGTAACATACAATACTAAAATACATGTCAATGAACAACCAAAACAGCTAGAAATAGTAAATAGTAAAATAACATAGGTCCCAAGTTCCAGCATAGAATTTGAAAATTTTTGTGTTTATTTATTTTTGTGTTTAAAAATGTTGCGTTAAATCTGATTCCAGATCTTAAACCTAAATCTTAAAGGGTTAGAACAAAATTTTTAAAATATTTTCTTGAGGAGGAGGGGCAAGATGGCAGAGAAGTAAGAGACCCTGTTTCAACCGGTCCCGTAAAGTGAGCTAAATATCTACCAGAACACTCTGAACACCCATGAAATCGGCCTGAGATGTAAGATTACACACTTCTGGATCGCTACAGGGGCAGAAGACAGCAGTGAAGAGGTAAAGCAGAGTGGGAATGCTTGGACTGATATTGGAGGATAAACAGAAGAGGAGGGAGCCACCAGAAGGGACACATTAGAAAGTAATACCCCAATATGAAAGTGCCCTGTGATTGGGGACAAACAATAACTTGGAGTCTGGTTAAAAGCACTCAAAAAGAGCAAAAGATCTTAAGAGGCAACTGATGGAATCTGGTGGTCAAGGGCATGGGCCCAGGACGGTCACCTCTGGTGACCACCCATGCCAGAGAGAGTCTGGCGGGGCCACCAATCTGTGGTCCTTGAGCCCATGGCTTTCTGCTGCTTGCACTACCACTCAGGTTGGGCACACTCCCACCTGAGACAGCCTGGTGTGGGCACCAGTGGGCGGCCTCTGGGCCTACAGCCTTCCTCGACCTGCGTGACCACGGGGTCTGAGCATGCCCAGCCCGCACCTAAGAGAACCCAGTGCCAACTCAGGTTGGGGTCTCTCAGCCTGCAGCCTTTGGCGACCTGCACCTCCCATGGCATGGACCGGAGATAGCATTCCCAGCAACAGCAGTAACTGGAATCAGGCTCACCCAGACCAATATTGCTCACAGTTTTAGTGGCACCAGGGTGCAGAGACAAGCAGGGGCCTCAGGCAACCACTGGGAGAGTGGCTGGGGGTGTGCACCGCCAGTGGGAGGTTGTGGTGTCTAGCACAGTTTGCAGAGAGGGAGTCTGTGTTTTCTGGACCATCCAGAGGGGAGTTGACTGAGGCTTCTCTCTGAGGCAGAGGTCTGGGGGTGGACAGTTTGTTTTCCACTAAACCTCTGAAAAGCCAAAAAGCCACCAAAGAACAAAACCCTCCAGAGAACATAATCCTGAAAAGCAGTTTCCACAGAGCCCAGTCCCTTGAAAGCAGGCAGGGTGACTCAACCCAAGCAGTACTGACTGGAAAACAATGTGGCAGGCCCCTCCCCAAGAAAACTAGCCAAAGGAACAAGACAATAACCACAGGGTCCCCAGACATCAGGAGAAAACAATAAATTAAGCTCCCAGTATTGTCCCAATGCCTGTATAATTCATAGATACAACTTTTCTTCTTTTTTTTATTAGTTCTCACACTTCTTCTTTTAATTTTTTTAACCTACTTACCATTACAACCAGAGGTTTAACACAACACATTGCATAATAACTTTTTAACTTGAACTTTTTTCATACATATATTGTGTTTTTCTTCCTTTTTTTAAATACATATAGACATAAGCTTCAAGGTAATCATTTTTCCCTATTCAATACTACCTCTATATATAGACCAGTTTTAATTTCCCTGTATCTATGGAAAGTTGAGTCCTTTAACAAAGATAACAATATTCATCCAGGAAGATCCGAAATAACCTTCCTCGCTCACATCAAGGGTTTATAACCACCTTCCCATCTTATTCTTCTGTGGGTGTTTCTCTGTATTTGTTTTTGTACTATATAAATATTATCCTTGGGGTTCCTTTTGGCTAGATTTTTCTTCCTTTTTTTTCTTGTCTTTTACTTTTGTCAGTCGTTTTAATTGTTCATTTTTGTTTATGTACCTTATAAATCTTACTTTTGGGGATCATTTTGGCTGGGTTTCTCTTTTTTTTTTTTTTTTTTTTCTATTTTTCTCTCTCTTTTTTCTTTCTTTTTGGTGATGACTTCCGATTACTCTGAAACTTTTCAGGGTGCACCTTGCCTAGATTGTGGTTGATATATTCAGCTAAACAACCCCTCAAACACCTGACCCCTCAAACTCTCTGACCCTTTGGAAGCAATTCCCTGGCCAAGGGAAGTTGTGTCTCAGGAAGGTGGCTCCTGTTTGTGCCTGGGTGTGGTTACAAGGTGGCCCAGAGCCTCCCCTGGAGCTGTCAGTCCAGGCAAAGCCAAGAGCATCAGAATGAGTCTCTGACTTCCTAGTGGCTGCAGGTAGCTCAGAGTCTGACTTTAGTGAAACAGGGTGTAGTTCTTCTCCACACTCTGTATGGTCTGGCCGTGCAGGTGGGGAGAAGTCAGTCTAATTAAAGATTGTGCAGTTCCTAGTGACAGGTGCCAAGAGGTTATGATACAGGTTTCTTGGGTCTGATGTACAGTGTGAATAAATGCTTGCAGCTCTTAGCCCTTTTCGATCAATGAAGCACTTTTTTATTAATATTTTTCTTTGTATGTAAAGGAGGAACCGTAACTCTCCGTAGCTGTACATATAACCCTTTTCTCCTAAAGAGGAGTCAGTCAGTGCTCCTATATTTTTCATTTTTTGTCAAAGTAGGAAGTAAATATTTTAGAACTGTTAAATATATAAATAAAGTGAACAAAGTTTTAAAAAAAAATGACTAGAAGGAAGAACACCCAACAGAGTAAATATTCAGAGACTGTGCCCTCTGCCACAAAACTACTGGATATGAACATAAACATATGTCACAAAGGAAATTCAGGGTAACAATTATCCAAGCAATGGCTAGGATGGAGAAGACCATTAGTGGCAACATAGAAACTCTAAGGGCAGAAATGAGATCCAATTGAATCTAAATACTCTAACAGCCAGTGTAACTGAGGCAGAAGATCGACTTAGTGATCTAGAAGACAAACTGAGAGAAGAAGGATCAGGAGGACACCTGGAATAAACAGCTTAGAAGCCATGAAAATAGAATTAGGGAAATAAATGACACCATGAAACATTCCAACATCAGAATTATTGGGATCCCTGAGCAGGTGGAGAAAGAGGGAAGACTAGAAGATATAGGTGAACAAATTCTGGATGAAAATTTCCCCAATTTGGGGTATGGAACAAGTGTTCATGTCCTAGAGGCAGAAAGGACACCCCCCAAGACCAATGAGTCTAGAAAGACATCCAGATACTTAATTGTTAAATTCATGAATCATAATTTTAGGCAAGAGGTCTTAAGGGCAGCTAGGGAGAAGAGATTCCTTACATACAGAGAAAGGCCCATTAGAATAACATCAGACCTGCCCACAGAGACCTGGCAAGCCAGAAAGGGCTGACAAGACATATTCAGGGCACTAAATGAGAAGAACATGCAGCCAAGAATACTTTATCCAGCAAGGCTGACATTCAAAATAGATGGAGACAGAGAGAGCTTCCAAAACAGGCAAGGTTTTAAAAAGTCTGTGACCAACAAGCTGGCACTACAAGAAATATCAAAGGGTTTTTTTTTTTATAAAAGAAGAAAGAACCCAAGAATGACATAGAAAAGAAGTTTACAGAGACAATCTATAGAAACAAGGACTTCTCAGGCAACATGATCTCACTAAAAACTTATGTTTCAATAATCACTCTCAACGTGAACAGCCTAAATGCTCCCGTAAAAAGGCACGGGGTTACATATGCTGTACCTGTCCATATGCTTTCCACAAGAGACACATTCGGAACCTAAAGATACATCCAGACTGAAAGTGAAGGGATGGAGAAGCATCCTTCATGCAAATGGGCCTCAAAAGAAAGCTGGAGTAGCTATTCTCATATAAGATAAATTAGATTTTAAGCTAAAGACTATAGTAAGTGATACTGAAGGACACTACATCATTCTTAAAGGGTCTATCCACCAAGAAGATCTAACAATTGTAAATATTTATGCCCCCAACATGACAGCAGCCAACTACTAAGCCAACTGTTAATTAAAGAGTCATATTGATAGGAATACATTAATTGTAGGAGATCTTAACACGCCACTCTCAGTAATAGATCATCTAAGCAGAAAATCAATAAAGAAACAAAAGCTTTGAATGACACATTGGACCAGAAGGAACTCATAGATATATACAGAACATTCCACCCTAAAACAACAGAATACTCATTCTTCTCAAGCACTCATGGAGCTTTCTCCAGAATAGACCACATACAGCGTAACAAATCAGGGCTCAGTTGATACCAAAAGACTGAGATTATTCCCTGCATATTCTCAGATCATGATGCTTTGAAACTGGAACTCAATCACAAGAAAAAAGTTTGGAAGGAATACAAACACTTGGAAGCTAAAGACTGTCCTGCTCAAGAATGCTTGGTTCAACCAGGAAATCAAAGAAGAACTTAAAACAATTCATGGAAACCAATGAGAATGAAGACACATCAGTCCAAAACCTATGTGATATAGCAAAAGCAGCCCTAAGGGGGAAATACATCTAAGCCTCACTCAAAAAAAATTGAAAAATCCAGAATACACCAGCTCTCTTTATAGCTGAAAGAACTGGAAAATCAACAACAAATTAAGCCAACCCCACACATAAGAAGAGAAATAATTAAGATTAGAGCAGAGATCAATGAGTTAGAAACTAGAGATATAGTACAACACATCAACAAAACTAGAAGCTGGTTCTTTAAAAGAATCAATAAGATAGATAAACCACTGGCCATACTAATTCAAAAGAAAAGAGAGAGGACCCAAATTAATTAAATTATGAATGAAAGGGGAGAGATCATGACTAA